AGGGATGGGGTAGTGGCTCTTGATTCGGACTGGGATGTTTGGGATTCAGAGCTCTCTGGAGATTTGATGCATTCGATAACTGTGGTACCCGTAGCCGTGCTTGAATTAGATAAAGATCTGTAAGGGTCATTTGTTTTCAAGTCATTTAGAAGCCAGAGGTCTGCATAGTGAGTTGATTCAGCACCTTCATCTTTGAATGGTGAAATATCTGAAGTATCTAACTGAGGTTCCTTAATACCATGTTCACTCTGGTTGATCCACGAAGGTTCCTGCTTGGTGGGAAGACTGGTATTTTCCATTCGAGAAGGCGTGTTGGAGAAATCAAGAGGCAGCTTCATTTCCCTGGAACTGTGAGGCAGGAGCTGACCACTGCTTATCTTTGGTTCTTTCTTCTCAGAAATGTCTCCATTTCCATCAGACTTCCTCAACGATGAGCTCCTTTTAGGTGGGGTTGGCTTTGCCTTTGGTTTCCTGAAGGAGATGCTTGGTCTCCCCTGCCTCCTGTGGTCTAAGTAGTCTTGCCAGGCACAGTCAGGAAGAGTAGGAGGAACTCCAATGCCCTGGCCATTCTCTGGGCCCAGGGCTGCATAATGACAGGCATAATTCTTACTACCTTTGAGACCACAGTCAAAGTGCATTGAGGTGTAATATCCTTCCGTGTCCACCGAAAAGTGAGAGCTAGTGTCTGCTTTGTCCGATGGAGATTTTTCCAGAAAGCTGTCATAAGTGGCCATGCTTGTGAAGCTCGGACAGCCCAGGCTGTCTGCCTTGGGGCGCTCAGGACTAAAATCCTGGCGGCAGGAGGCATCATGATGGTGGTGTAGGTAATTCCACTCACTGTCACTTGTGTTGCTATTGTTGGGGTCATCCAAAAGATCTGCCACAGTGGAGGTAAAGGAATTTGCCCGGTGGCCTCTCACTTTATCCAAGTGGTCATTGTACTGCTCTGTCACGAAGACACTGGCGTCCTCATTAGCATGAGGGGCCGTGTTCAGTGACAACTCCGAGTCACAGTGTGAAGAGCCAGTGAGGGGAGGAGAAGCTGCAGGAGGGATTGTCTCTGAGGTCTGTGAGGGACATGTGGAACTGCTCCCACTCCAATTGCCACTGGATGACTGGTGGTCATCTTTCTGGTCCATGTGGCTGCTGAGGAGGACACCAGCTGTGGAGATGCAATGGATGGGGCTCCCAAAGGTGTCTGAGTTGGAGGAGATGTCACAGCTGCCAGAGTCGGCAGCCATTCGGGACAGACGTGACCTCCCTCTCTCATTTAACTTGTGCTGGGGGCTGTGAAGATGTTGAGAACAGGCCAGGCCCAAAGCAGGCTGGTGTTCCTGTGCACCTGGGCTGCTGGCAACCTCGCTGCAATCATTAGGTGTTCTTTCTCGATCACCCACAAGAGGCTCCCCCTCTTCATATGCTGAGGGTTTAGTACCAACTTTAGGTTCAGCATCCCCACCTCTATTGCCCTCCCGGGGAAGGCTCCGAGATCTTGTGCGGCTGCTCACTACAGTCGTAAACATGGTGTCACCTTTGTCTGCCAATGCAGAAATGTTGCCAGCAGAATGAGAAAGGGAAGCTGCAATGCTTTGACCTCTTTGAGCTCTGATTCTCCTTCTGGATGGAGCAGCAATCAGAATGTCTTCAGTTTGGCACTCTGAGTCCCTGGTTCCAGATCTCCTATTGACGGTGTTAGAAGGATCTGGATTTGTGTGCACGATCACATTCCTTTCCCTGGCCACGGGCGACTCATCAGAATCTAGGGCATGTGGAAAGCATAGTGAGATATTTTATACAACAGCATACTAACAGACATTCTGAGAGATATCCACAAATTTGGGTGCTAGCATATTGGAGCTTTTACTTACAGAAAAAAGTCAGCATATAAAATTAGGAGAAAGTTAAAATGCTTTGGAGAATCTCTCTGTCTCTGCCTCTTTCTGTTTCTGTCTCTCTCTGTATACACAGACTATATATATATATGTATGTATATATACTGAGAAGATATGCTTTTAGGTCTTTTGTGAATTCTTTCTCTCTTTAGTATCAAATTACTTTGCCCCAATAAGTGACTACTATTTTTTAAAAACTAAAGTCCATTTTTATCTTCTTGGTCACTATTCATTTTTATTTTGTAATATAAACATAACAAAATAAAAATTTTAGAATTCATTATAAGAAATAAAAATCTTATTTATAAGAGATGCTACCATAATAATAAAAACATAGGAAGAGATATCCTAAACATATGGAACAGAAAAAATTTTTAAAAGGTCATCAACAATATCAAATTATCAATATTCAATATTTAATTGAGTATGCTTGAAAAGTACCTTTTTAAAATTATTAATGTCATAAAAGTATATCTCTTTTCAAATAAAAGTATACTTTCTAAAACAATCTTTCATTGACTCTTGTTACTTTTTATTTATAATTTCCACCTTAATAAAACTTTTAAAAATTAGCAAAATATTACGTTTCAGCAATAAGACCTGAACGTACATGCCTAAAGCCACAAGGTTAAAACCTTCATAGTCAAGGACAGAGACTTAGAAAGTCGTACCACCTGGCTTGCTGAACTCAAAACAAGTATATACCATTTCAGAACCTCTACAACTTACAGCACTGACTATTTTTTAAAAGAAGTTGGCTAAACGCTGGCTTCCATTTCATCTTAAAATCAGCACCTGACAGAATGTTAACCATTAACAGTTTTATACCACACCTATTTCTTGTTGGACTCTTCTGGGGATACCCGAGATGGTTTTCCTCCTCCTCAGTTTTCGTCTTCGCTGTAGTACAGATTGTGAATGAACAAGAGAGCAGCGTATACTAGCCTCTCTGTCAAAACCAACTCCTGCAACCCACAAATAGGTCTCATTAGCCTTTAGAAATGGCAAAGACATTTTCATTTGCTTGGAACACAGTGATATTTATTGAAGTAAAGGAAGAGTTTGGATTAAGCCTGTGAACAAATATAAGGGAGCCCTTATTCAGCTCTTATTTAAATTATGCTGCAGTACATTAAGCTTTACTTCTAAACGCATCGCTCCACACAGCTTGCACTGCCCAAAGTAACTAGCAAAGAAGAAAAGTCAAAAGAAAAAAGATAGAGAAATAACATCAAAGAATCACCCTTGCAGAGAAATGACTCCTTAAGGACTTACAACTTTTAGTTACTACTATTTACTGGTCTCTTTTTAGACTCTCGGAAGCTGATATCTTTGCATAGTAGATCTGTAATTAAGATGTTAACCTGAATTAGTTCAGCTAACATATCCTGACCCATCTCTTCATTAAAAGCACCTTTGTGAGTTTTTTCCCCCTCTACCCTCTATGCCCAATCTCCACCACCTACACACACACATACAACACACACACTTTCTTTGAGGAAACAACAGCCTAGAGATTTGTTTTTAAATTATCATGTAATTCTATCTACTTTCTTCTACTGACTAAATTGGACACTTCTTGGTTTAGCACCAGTGTCTTATCAATATAAAATAAAAATATAAGGCAGTTCCTGGTTCTGCACTTCGGTGGATCTATCTTCTGTACCAACCATAAATAAAGCTGAATTCCCAGTCTTTAGAATGTGTGTGCTTGCTTTAGTAGATGCAGGGAGTGAACCATGATGCCTGTTAGTTTCTCTCTCCATAATCACATTACTGACATCCTACATGCAGTCCTATCCAATCTCCAACCTAGAACCCCGAGGGAGAAGGTGAGAAACTCAAACTCTTATCTGGCACAGGTAGGCACAATGGATTTTCAGAGTGAGTTTTGCCTCAGGGAGCCATAATGCCAAAAATGCTTTCGAATCTGGTTGTCTCATCATTTATCCTGATTGTTAAGCATGGGGCAGGATGGCATGTTAAACCTTGTTCAGTTAAATAATGAAGCAGTTTGAGTTCTGCTTTGTATCACAAGTGACAACAGTTTCTAGAACTCACTTTGAAAAATCTGTATGAGATATCACATGATGAATGATTACAATATTATCAGAGAATTCATACTAATGGAATTTTCCTTTCTTAGTTCTAACCAAAAATTAAAATCGTTCATTCTAATCATCATAATTATAGAACATATGACATACAGACACAGAGACTTTGTGTTACATCAACAACTTTCTCATTAAAGCTCTTGAAATCAACATATAATCTAGGCTTTAGTTTGAGAGTTTCTGAAATAAAGCAGAAGGAAAGATCTTCCCTTTTCCTGAATCACAAGACCCATAATCAAAGAACTAAATTTGAAAACAAGATTTTACTTACAGTTACATGAAGAAAGCAGATACTGCTAATAATCAGTCTCAGAACTGAAAGTTAGTTTAAGAGGATGCCAAAATGATCCATTTTGACAGCTGAACTCCCCTAATCCATCCCATTTAGATTACAGAGATCAGGTAAAGTACACATGCTTAGAATAATTTATCCTACAATTTGCATAGGTCATCAGGAAAATTAACCTTCAGCTCACATCAGCTGATGAACTAGAACCACCCTTTTCAGGAAGGAAATAATATCTGTCCCAGATGCCAGGTCATCATTTGCTCCCCACTTTATGTGAGAGAAATTCGAGTGGGGTTAATAATAACTGTGTCCAGAATGCATCTTGAGCAACATGACATCCTTAGTCACATGGTACGAGGATGAAAATCTGTCATAATATGGCAATTTTGAAATTTTCAATATATAAATAAATTAAAATATAACTACTAGAGATAGTTAAAGAAAGCTCAATGAATAGATCATTTAATTTCTATCTTTAGAAGTTAGAATATTTTATAACATTATTTTACTTACAAAGACGACCAGGTCCAATTCTTGAATTTACAATTGCTGCCAATAAACTTTTTAAGAAAAATCTGGACAGGCTTGTAAATTCAACCTAGACTAATATTCATACTCTCAATACACAGGAGGAGAAAATTCATGTATTCCTAGGTCAAAAATCCTTAAAATTAATGTGGAAGTTTAAATGATCTTTTAAACAAGCCTATCTTCAGCCAAGGAAGCATGAGAACAGATTTTATAGTTGGTCTACAGGATCATTACTTGCAGTTTTAGAAACCTGGGGTTTACTGTTTTCTTTCTTGCAGTGCCACGCATCATTATCATATGATTAATCACTGCTGCTTTCTCCATTATTTCAGTCGGCTATGGCCAAAGAGCTATTTGTGATTTTTTTTTTTCAAAAAGAAACTGTCCATCATTTACATAACAAGTGACCCAGCAGAACATATGCAAATCGATGTTCAAAACCTGACAAAAGCATATTGAACATCTTCTCAGTTGTATTCGGATGAAAAAGGTATTACTTGTTCACAAAGCGGTATTCTTATCTGGTACCCCCAGCAGCACAGATTTTGAACATATTTAATACATAGAATTAAACATATTTAATACACAGACTGCCCCTAAGAAAAGAACAGAACGATACCAGTGACATTGATGGGAATAATGCAAGAAGAAATCACTTGAGCATCTTGTTTCATCTTTTCCTCTGGCGTCGGGAGAGGTAGTGCTTTGCTCCAGTTGGTCTGCTTGTCCAGTGTCGAGGGAATATTGTGTACTGGGTTTTTCGGCCTCTGCCCTAACATGACATCTGTATCTTCGTCCTCCGGGGGATGGGACTGCAAATGAATACATTTGGACTCAATCACTACGGTTTACACATAAACACACATAGAAGAGATTTCAAAGTTTAGTTAAGAAAGATTTGGTCAGAGATAAGCTTTTTTAGTTCAAAGGAAGAAGTCCTAGAATTAGGTAGTAAGCACAACTAATTGAAAGTTATAATGTCAATAGTCAAGCGACACAAAAGGAAAAAAATGGGTTAAATAAACATGTTTTTGTAGGTCAAATGGAATTAAGAGGAGAGACAAGGTAGCCAGGGATCCCCCAACTTCAAACTGAAGAAAAATGTTAGTCTTTAATCCAGTGAGAGGTAGATCCACTTTCTCGACATCCATCTCACCATAAATTCCTATTGAAAGTCTTGAGAGCTCTAGATGACTAGGATCAATGCCTATGAAATGTTTTAAAAAATATGCCAGAAAACCTGGAGTCAGGAGACATTCCAGAACACATCACCTGAAGGACAAAGCACCTAATCTGAGAGTCCAGATTAAAACACAAGGAGTTAACTTTACTGCAGGACGATGGCATTTGTGAATAACACTTTAAAAACAGTTTCATCAACACTGCATGCACATGGAAAAGCAAAAGTGAAGAATCTCTCCCCACCAGTTATAGTGGTAAAGGTAAATGTTATTGATGGGGGCGGGGTTTAAAATAGGTTTCTTTTTCAAATTTGGAGGAGTAAAACAGTCCTAGTTTATTTTCTTGCAGCTTTCCAGTCCGAAGCTTTTCTTCCAACTGTGTAGTCAGAGACCTTGACTTCTATACGACTTTTGAAAATTCTCCATCCAAATCTTTGATAGTTATTAATATTGTCTAATTTCAATTGCAGTGTTGGCCTCCTAAACCAGATTATTAAAAAGGCTCTATCCCAATTTTGATTTCAGGGCTGGGTTTCTAAATCATATTATTAAAAGACCCAATTTTTACTATTGAAGTTAGTTTTATTTCTTTCCACAATCTGGATGAAGGTGTGTATTTGCAGAATATAAATATTTTTTTCCTCTTATTCCAGTTAGGTTGTAATAATATTCTATTCTAAAGTCAAGATCATTAAATAATATTCTATTCTAAAGTCAAGATCATTTTCTCATCTTCACATTTGGAAGCATCATGCTCTGAGTCAGAGGATTTCACAATTGTCAAATGAACTGTTTTCAAGTTCCCTTAAAGAGAAGCTTTCCAGAGCCAGTTGTTTTAAATCAACCCCCAGTATTTGCTTACCTTGTCAGAGGTATCTGCAAAGCCCCCCAATACACCCAACAGGATATGATTCCCCACCTTGAGAAAACTGTGTTCGCCATGAACGTTTTAGTAAAAACATCGCAACTTTCTTTCTCTCTTCAGCTTTTGTGCGGATTCCCAGCGAAGCAAATAGCTCAAATAAAGTTGGAGCACAAAAGACTTTGTTTCCTAGGTAACTTCCAAAAAGAAAAAAAAGTTTGGTGCATGCAGAAAGAGAGACAGAAAGAGAGGGAGAGAGAGCAAGAGCTGGAGAGAAGCCCCCACCACCAAAGTCCACATTTTGTAGGATTCCTTCCTTGAATAACAATGGACTAGGAAACAAAGAAAGAGCAGTGACCTGACCATAGGCTCTGACCAGCAGCCAAAGGCACTTTTTATTTAATGGTGACAGGGACAACTGGCTGCCAGAGAATCCTTTTGGTTGTCTTCTTTGATTTGAGAAGCCAAAACTTTACAGTTCTGATAAATATAGGGCAAGCTGGAATTTCTTTCCTCCAGAACTGCAAAGTCCAGGGGCAGCATTAGGTGCTGCTCATCTTCAACGGAACCTTCTTTGCAACCTAGGGGTGTGTGTGTGGTGGGGGGAGGGGGAAGTAAATGGGGAGAAAAGCCAATGGCGTGACTGTCTAAATTATATTTTATTTAATTCAAGTTAGGAAAATACCCACTCTTTAAATTGATTTAAAAGAATACCTGTTAGTTAGAAACAACAGTTTGCCATAAAACTAAAAGAGAAGAAAGTGAAAGTGTCTGGAAAGAATAGGATAGGATGTGATGGAATGTTCTCAGAACCAGTACCTTTCTACTCCATGGGGTCATGTGGCAACACTCAGTGGGGGAGGGCGAACGGGTGCTGTTAAACTATGAACATGAAATGCAAAAAAAGAAAAAAATTAAAACATGCACACAGCACACAATATACCCTGGTTAAGCCAAATCTATGATATTAATGAATGAATATAATGGGATAACTCCTTCGTTCCTTCATTCCTTCTTTCCTTCGTTCCTTTGTTCCTTCCTTCTTTTTTATGAGAAGTAGCATAAATAGTGGTTAAGGGCACAGACTCTGGAGCTAGAAGGAGTTCAAATTCTTGTTCTACCACTTATTTGTAGTGTGACTAGGGCAATCACTCAAGCTCTCTAAAGTCAGTTTCCTCATCTGTAGGATAAGAAATAATAGTTATCTACACTCCAGAGCTCTTTTGAGGAATAAATTAGTAAATATATACAATAGACTTAGAAGAATCTTGGCACTTAATGAGCTCTATGTGTTAGCATCAACTACTACTGCCAATATTGCTACTACTATTATTATACTTACCTTGTAGCTGTGAAACATCTGTGAAATTGTCTTTGCAAATTGCAACTTTCTATCTTGTAGATCCCAATCCCATATGCTAATTTGGGAAAGACTAAATTATTTTCTTTCCTTAGAGAGTTTATTTTCCTATGAACTACTTGGAAGAAAATTTCTTGTGTATGAATTCCTCCTCTGGACTGTTCAAAAAATTGTCATGGAATATAAAGTCTAGAGATGAGTAGATTTAAATAAAAAACGAAATGCCTTGTAAAAAATAATAAATAAATAAAATGTTAAGTTAGACCATAAAAAAGCCTATTCATATTCAGACTATATTTGAAAACAAGGCTGGTTTTATGAGCATGTGACCTGTGCCCTCACACAGGGTCCCATACTCAGAAAGACTCCATACTTGGATTAATGATGTCACTGTCTTAAAATTCTTAGTTTTTGAGCAAGGGGTCCTGCATTTTCATTTTGCACTGGGCCCCACAAATTTGGCAGCCAGTCTTGTTTGGAAAATAATCTGGTAACCAGAGTCCCCATTTCTGGATCTATTGAGAAAGACACTGAAACTCTTAAATTCTAAATTATGGCAGCGTCGGATTCAATTAGGCTTCTATTACAGCATTTTCCATGTAGCATTGCTTTAATGTTACATGAATTATCCCTGGATATGTCTTTTTCATCTATTAAATTACAAAGTCCTAGAGGTTAGGAGCCACATTTAATTTTCCTTTTTGTCTTCCATGATGCCAACAAAATGCCTCCTCATTGTAAGAGCTCAATAAATTATTTGTGCACTTGAATGATACCAGCCCTGTGTGTTTTAACAGTGATGGGAAACCCAAATAAAGGGTCATGCTCAAGATCTCAGGAGATAGCAGATACCACAGAATCCAAGAGAACTCACTATCTTAGTGCAAGTAGGTAAAAACAAATAGAATAAACCACAAACAACACTTGGTTCCATTGGAGGCTTGGTATTGACATATGCTAGTTCTAGTTATTCTTAAGCAGATGGCATGTATGTGGTTTCTTTGGAGGGGGAAAGGAATACTCAAGCTAATCCTATTCTAAGTTTCTAAATTTTAACTGACAGGGTTGCTCATTAATTTTTAAGCAGAGCAAATGCCATATCCTCAGGCCTAGTTAACTTTGATCTAAATCTTATTTAAAACAAATAGTTTTGTAGGGTCTATGGCTCCCCCACTGAAAGTGATCATTTTGACAGATGTGGTGTGTGTGGCCTGAGTTCAGACACACTAACTTGGCTTTCTCATAAGAATTAGTCACAGATAGTGATATGCAAGTCTCAAGTAAGACACTGGGGTGTGCAAAATAGCAAACTCATGGAAGAAGGAAAAAAGGAGACTGAAAGTAAAACCTACGCCATAAAGGAATGTGTTTCCAAGAAAGCAAAGGCTTTGGGGTCTCATGAAAGGATTTTAAAATACTACACAGCAGGAAACTGCCAGGCAGAAAACATATTAATGATATTAATATGTTAACTTTGGTAGTTTGTCTTAAATCTCCTAAGTCAGCTCTCCTGTTGAGTATTTTTTTCCAGGACTAAGGAGGGGATAAGGAGTGATTTTTATTTGTCATCTGTTTGAGAACTGCCCCCTCCATTTCATTAAAGAAGCATGAGATAACACCTG